GGTCTAGTTTCGAGAGTTGAGAGGATAGTGCGAATGTTCAGGATGAAAGCAGACGAAGAAGAAACTATGCGAAACCAGGTTGGAAACCACGAAAGCCGCAGTGCAGAGTTGAGACGCTCCTTAACAAGGAATCTCAACTACTCATTACGCGAGAACGTTTCTACAACCCATCGTTTCGTCGGATCCCCAACGGGCATTTGCCAGACGTTTTAGCCGATTACGCTGCTTGCCCCAAAAACAATGGATAATACCTTGACTGGTGACATAGGTCCGAAAAGCCTCGACTCTCGCTGAAGCAACATACTCTTTAAGCGATTAACACGTTCATTAGCTACGTTTATTTGCAGCTTATTTTCATTCGTTCGCGAAATAATGCGATATAAAGTATTTGACACGTATCATTTCTCATTCTTCAAATTATTTGTCAACAATTTAATGAAAGTATTATTGGCTGTTATTCGTTTATTATGGAATGACAGTATTATTCGTTGCTCATAAATATTTAAGGTAATATGACAGTAATACTTGTTATTGTTTCGAATGAAATAAAGGTATTAAAACTGGTTTTTATAAAATATGATATACGATTTATTTATAAGGTTAAGCTACTAGCTTTCAGTGACATAGACATATAACCATAAAGAATTGTTACGGTAATTTATTTTGTACAATCGTTTGACAAATAAATTAATATTTTTTTCATTCAGAGGACAATAAAGAAAAACTATATAACGTCATTCACTTATAATATAAACCTTGAAAAAGATTATTACTTTGCTTAAAATAAATTGAAATAAAAATAAATGTCAACCGTAGGAATATCTCTGGTTTCAAGTAAAATATTTTCATCGTTCGCAAAGTAGAGAAATAAACTCAATCGAATTAGTACGACATTGAGATAGCTCTCCATATTCGCGGAATAATCGTCGTTCTGAATGCTCACCGTATCACTATCGAATTCTCTCAAGATTTCATCGAATTATCGATAGATCCCTGCGTGGCGAGAAGTTTCGGATTCGAAGTGGCGCAGGCAAGTTGCATCTCGAGTAACCCCGCACTTCAAACTACGAATCAAGTTAAAACTTCATCGATGTATATCAATGTTAAGTCGCGATGAATCTTCGTGAATTAACTAATAATAAACCAGATCACGTATCCAAATAGAGTTCCAATATTTCCGGCCAAACTGGATGCTGGGAAATTTAACCGCTGGAAACTGGAATTGTGAAGGGTAACCTGGTGGAATATCAAGTTTGATCAGTGTCTTATAGTTTAGAAGAATATCTGTTTCATATACTTCGTTTTTGAATTATTAAGGAATATAATTTTTCACTCCGTAATTTCCACGCGGCGTAATTTCTACGCGCCATAATTCAACGCCTTGTACTTCCACGCGCCGTAATTCCACGCTTTGTACTTCCACGCGCCGTAATTCCACGCCTTATACTTCCACGCGCCGTAATTCCACGCGCCGTAATTCCACGCGCCGTAATTCCACGCTTTATACTTCTACGCGCCGTAATTCCACGCCTTGTACTACCACGCACCGTAATTTCTACGCGCCATAATTCCACGTGTTATATTTCTACGCGTTGAAATTTCTACGCGCCATAATACCACACACCGTGATTTTCACGCGCTATAATTCCACGCTCCGTAATTTCTACGCGCTGTATTTCCACCCGCCGTAATTCCCACGTGCCATAATTTCACGCGCCGTATTTCCACGCGCCGTAATTTCCAAGTAATTTATATTAAGGAAATAAATTTTGTTAGGCTCGAAGCTGTCGCTCTTACGTCTGCACGTAATCTCGCGCTCTGATTGGTCCGTGCCTTAATAATTCAAAAACGAAGCTTCAAACCCCATTTTTGCAAAGGGAAATCTTATTCAGTATCACGTCAGCTACATTTCAGAAACCTACTATTGTAAGACCCTGTATACTCCTACTTCTCTATATCTCCATAGTCGTATATCTTTCAAGTCCCTATGTCCCTAGATTCCACATACCCCGAGTTATATCCCCAAATCTCCAAGTTCCCACATACATGTTCGAATCTCCACATAAATCCATATGCGTCTAGTTTTCCTAATTAAAACGTACACGTTTCCATCGAGTTTCCACGTTTCCTGTAATTTGCATCCCTTTATTTCTACCGTAGAAACGTTCCAAGTAAATTCTCTCGTTACTACGATATCGGCTACGATTACATGAAAACGCGTAGAACCACGTTGAAAACTGCTCTTTGAATTGGCTGGAAATTTTCCACGAACACTCGCCCGATCCTCGAAGGAGTTGAATAGAAAAAGTCATTCAGACTTGCGTTACAGTGGCCAGCATTTTCGGGATAAAATTGACTCCGCCAATGGTCAGCTTTATTTCCTGGACTCGCAGTAGAACGCATAACCAGCATACACCCGTACTACTTCACCACAGATACACCGGTTTTTGCATTTTTTCCATTTTCTTCTCTCTTTTTTTTGCGCTCGCGCCAGCTCGTTTTTACACGAGAGGAATTTCTCTCTCGTTTTATTTCGCCCTCTGCGACTGTCCCTCAGTGTCCTCTTTTTATCGCCATACCTTTCTGCCTACAGCTTTTTTCGCGGAACAACGGCGTCGAATTACTCGGCGATCTATCATTTCTCGCGTCCGGAATGTAAAACGCTACTTGCGGGACACCTGTTACTGAACAGCATTGGCTGGTGAAAAATTCAATGAACTGGTGGAAAAAAAAGAGATATCTGTCCCTGCACGAATCGCGTGAAAAGCAAACAATCAATCCCCGTGCAAATATGTATTGGGGCGAAATTGCAAAATGATGCCGTTTCGGAATTGTGGCTTCCTGGGGAAAATTCGTTTGGGGAATTTATCCATAAAACGGTCGACTGTTTATAAAAAGTTCTTTTTTTACTTCTGTCCGAATTATTGCAATTTGAGAGGTAATTCAAAGTGGTAAAAAATGAATGAATACGTTTAAATATTTCGCGCCTTTACTGTCTCTTAAAAATAAAATTTTAATTATATTCGTACATTGAAATAAAATTATAAATTAACGTGAAGTACAAAATTTTACGTGTTGAAAAGTTAATTGGCATCCATAAATTATATTAGTTGAACATTAATTCACTGACTGTAGATAATTTTACTAATTGAAATAATTACAGTATTTCTCCGTTGAATATACAGGGTGTCTCACAACTAATGTAGGTTCCTGAAATTATGAGACATACAATAATTGTGAGACACCCTGTATAAAAGTCCCTGAGAATAGACATTGAGTGAATATTAAAATTTGAATACAAAGTCGAATTCAATAAAAATTAGTTGGTCAATAAATTGTCACGAGGTTAGATTAAATTGTACTTCGTAACTGTTGAACTTCATCTCCGATAATATTCGCGCACGATAATTGTTGCAAGGGAAATGGTAATAGTATGTTAACAGGTAGTAACACTGCTTGAATCCCCCATTGTCATAATTGTGATATAATCCCGCGGGATTAAGGATTTAAAGCTCTCTCGAGTCGGGGCCGCCGTAAAATAGCGCCAGTGTGTCTGCGTAAACGTAGGAAAAGTGAACGACCGGAAGGTAGAGGGTGTCACCCTCTTTCGCTCCTCGCAAAATTACTTTCACTGACGCAGGCTAAATGACAACGCTCTCCGAGCGAAAATTCTTTGAAATAACAAATGAAAGGTAGTACATGTACTGCAAGTTTGCGTTTTAGAAAACGCAGCCCCCGGTGACGTTCTGTAGTACATTTAATTCGCAAATACTCGGAGCCTCCTCGACGCGACGGAAACGCCATTTTAAACAGCACACGGAATAAATTTTGCACACCTATGCACGTTAAATTAGCATTTATCTTACCACTGTAAACTTTCAAAATTTCTAAGTTATATTTTCAGATCTAAACATTTTCAAAATTACAAATTTTTAAATTTTTAAATTGTCAAATTGTGAAATTGTCAAATTGTCAAATTGTCAAATTTTTAAATTTTCACATTGTCAAATTGTCAAATTGTCAAACTTTCAAATTGTCAAATTGTCAAATTTATAAATTATAAAACATAAAAATATCAGTTTCTCAATTTTTCAAATTAAGAAATTTACCCCTTGTTGCTCATCAAATTTGTAATGACGTACAAATGAACAGAAGTGCATTTATTTTTCTTTGTTTAACAAATTATGCACATACATAATATATTCGATTTGTATTGTTGAAGATAGCACAGAAGAATGAAGGAGGACGTTAATGATCCTTTCATGAATTTACATCGGGCTATAGTTGTGTGCTGGCAAAAACGTACAATCGAAACGCCCTCGAGTCCTATCCGATCTGATTACGAGCTGGTTAATTACTTCGATAATTAGCGTCCATCGACGCGGTTGAGTATGTTGACTGACGTTGCAAGCCGCGAATGATCGAGTATCACGAAATGCAAACGAAACACCTTTTTTAATCTCGTATATAAGCTCCTAAACATTTTTCTTTTAATTAGTAAGTATACTTATTTGCAAAGGAATAACACAAATTCTAAAACGTTACTAATATAAAAAAGAAATACATATGTGACTATTAAATATGTAGACATGTGTTACATATGTAACAGCAAAATACATTATATTATACTTGAAGAGACTAATTTATAACTGTGAATATATGAATTATTTTGTCAATTCTACAGCATATGTGATATATGTAACATATGTAGCATATAGAAATAACACGTAACAGCAGAACACATTACATTATACTTGAAAAGCCTAATTTATAGCTGCAAATCTATCAATTATTTTGTCAATTCTCCAGCATATGTAACATATGTAACAACATACAAATAACATATGTAACAGTACACACATCACAGTATACTTGAAGAGCCTAATTTATAACAATAAATCTACCAATAATTTTGTAAATTTAACAACGTTTATAAATAGCAATTATTTTAAAATATAGTTGTCGCAATTTAAAGACAAAGTTATTGTTTCTGGTTGCAGCCTTGCGAGAAGCCGAGCGATTTTCGAGCGGAACAATGCGCCGCATTCGACGACGTACCTTACAGCGGACAACTGTTGAAATGGTATCCGCATTACGATCCAAGCAGACCGTGTTCTTTGATCTGCCGCGGTGAACAATCGCTGGAGAATTCGGAGAACAGGCTACGACAGGAAACATCCGTCGAGAAAACGCTTCCGCGCGACGCCACCGAGGCTTTGCAGCTCGACAGCGAGGAAACCATCGTCGTTCAACTCGCGGACAAGGTTGAGGATGGCACGAAATGCTACACCGACGGCTCCGACGTTTGCATCAATGGTGAATGCATGGTGAGTGATGTTTTTAACTTTTATATACTTTGTTCATTATAACTTCCTTATTCTTTTATTCTTCTTCTCCTTTATTCTTTTGTATTCGTCCACTGGACCTGTTGCGACCATAATCACATTTAATTGTAAACAGGACTTAAGTCTAGCTTGTAACTGGAGTAGCAGTCAAAAAGTATAAGAAACGCATCAACCAATCAAACATTATTCATTTATTTCCGAATCTGATATATTGACTGAGCCGGCAAATATTCGTGGAATTAAAAAACACGTAAATGAATAATTTTATAAAATTTCCTTCCTTAACGACATTTTACCTCTTCAGAAAAATTTATTGCAAGCCTTTCTGTTCCTCTTAATTAAAACAAAAATGCAATTTTACCGTAGTTTTAAAAAAGTAATTTGAACCTTGTCCGAATGTTAATCAGCGTTAATATGGTGACAATCCTCAATTTCAGTTCGCAATATTAAAATATGTAGAATGGCAGTTGCATTGAAACTGCCATTTTTGCATGTTGAAACGTAAAATTGTAGCTAGCTAATTTAGTTGGACTGCATCACGCAAATTTGATTATCCAAAATGTAGCAAAGTGTATCCGTTTACTTGGAATCCAATTTGATAAGTGACTGGTGGATCGTTCGATTCGGGGAAAGTTGGCAGGTAGCGAAACCGGAAACGTTCATCTCACGGGAGAGAATAATTTTTGTGCAATGTCGGTATCCCTTCTGGTGCACCATATTTTGTGCCTCGCACGGAAGTTCGCAAGTTTGCCCTACTATACCACCCTCCATCCAATCTTGTGTTTTACACACGAGCGCTATTTCCGACACGCGTTTAATCGAGCATAGTGCATCGTAAAATAGTTGAACCGGTATAAATTCGATCGATTTAATTGAAAAATTTAGGAGAAAAATTATGAAATATGCATAATGGAATTAATGGTCAAAGTTGGAACTTAATGGTCGAAGGGACGAAAATAAGCGAAGGGGTGGTTCATGCATGTTGCATCCTTCGTTCATGATTTAGAAATAGAAAGTTAACAAATTTGATTTGTTAAATTTCCCCACATTCCCCAATTTCCACATTCCCCAATTCCCAAATTGTCCAATTCTCACATTGTCCAGTTCCCAAATTGTCCAATTCCCAAATTGCCCAATTCCCACATTGTCCAATTCCCAAATTGTCCAATTCCCACCTTGTCCAATTCCCACATTGATAGATTTGTGTATTTAGAAATTCAGCAATTTGAGTATTGTGGTATTAGGTAATTCAAAATAGAAATTTGAGGGTTGAAAATTTAAAAATATAAATATAAATATAGAAATTTTTGACTTTCAAATTTAAGTATTTAGAAATTCAGAAATATACTATTACTACTATTAACTTATGTACACGACAAGTCTCACGTTAATAATAATAATTTATATCAGCAAGTTTTTTATCAATGACAGTAACTTTTAATGTAACTTCATTTTATATCACCATTTTAATTGCAAGTTGAGAAATTAAGAAATGAAGTAACTGAACCGAGTTCAGTAAAATATACCGTGAAACATATTCTAAGGATCACAGAACTGCAAATAATCTTTAATGAACAATTACATTATCCCAGAAACGTAACAAGTAATAAACAGATAAACCCATGTGCACAAATTCCTCTCGAATATTGACGAAGCACTCGCTAATGTTTCGATATCCTAAATAATACCTAACACGGTTTTCAAACAGGATTATTTAATTCCCGGAACGAGAGGACCAAATTGTTTTCATTAAACGAACGCGGGAACTTAAAAAATTGGAACTCGTACCTCAAATATTCGTTTATTCGAACGCAGTTTGGTTGTCGGAAAATTACTCGATGCGTGAGGACAATTTATTTATTACAAATTTAATTAAGCGTAATAAGTCCATCGAATTTTGTTCGTTATTATTAATCAGTCTGAAGATTGCAGCGGATTTCAATCACCGATTATTCGATTAAAGCAAATTGCGAGCTCGGAGGAAAAAATAATTGTGGAAAGTGATGAATTTGACTTTTATCGATTGGAAATTGTTTGAGTGCTTATATCTATTTGAAACATACATTTGTTTTTATTTTAAAAAATATTTAATAAATTTTTAGTGTACTAATTAATTTGTTTTATACTTTTCACTTAAATGTACATACGTCGATGAGTAAATTGGTTATGTACGAACTTAAATGTATTCAGGTTTTACTGTTCTGTAAAAAATATTAAAAATAAGTAGTAAGACAGATAGTCAACTAAGATTTTAATACCTAATATCGTTTAGAGCAGAATAAAATCGATAAGTGCAACGAAGATGAATAACGAAATCAGTAGTATAGACAGGGCAATGGTCAGACATGTCATGTGATGCAACCACATGATAAATCATCCAACTCGTAAATCAGCAGAGTTAGCTTCCGAACAATTCTTAATTAATTTTAATAATACGTACATCATTTAATTGAGATATTTTGTATAATTCACATACATGATTACACATAAACATTGTATAAAAATAATAATAAAGATCGTAACTGTAATGAACGTGTACCACACATTTTAATTTTTTTCATTAAAGAAAAGAAATGGAAAGAGAAAGTTAGTTCGTGCCGTCCATTCCTGCAGTTTCTAGTTGATATTCGCGGCATTCCAGCGGAAGCGAGCCGGCTGCCAGGATAATTAATTAAAAGCGGTGATCAAACTTTTAAATATGCGATCGCGTCGAGGCCCTAAGATTACGTTGAAAAGCGTCGGTTAAGAATTAAGTCGCAATTGCTGCATCCCTTGTCGAAACTTAGCGAGGAAGAAAGTTCCAACGGAAACTCGAGGCCGGAAAATTTGCCCCGGCGGAGTGGCACACGACGCCCTATCTGTACCCACTTTCCACCCTATTCCATCGCCGCTGGACTCGTCCAAACTTATTTATAACTTTTGGTTTCTGGTCTACGATTGTGCGCGACCGCGTTCTTCTTCGACCGAGGAAAATACGAGCTAACGAGGCGTCGTCCTGTCGTCTTCGGCCAATATTTACCCTGGGTGCGTCGTAACGCCCGCACTTCTCGTCCATTAAGTTAATTCGATCTTACTTTACACCGTTGACGACTTTGTGTACCGAGAAACAGGCCACGAGAGGCTACTTCGACGATTAGTCGCTTAAGCAGTGCGAACCTTTTAGCCCATTAATCCTCGGACTCTATTCGCACCCGAATGTTGCTCTGCACTCCCGTTTATGATCGCGCATTGGCGAAATAGAGATTTCTCCTTCCAAATACGAGAAACACGGACGTGACTGGAAGTGAAAATTTACGATCCCTAAAATATGGAAAACTCGAACTTCAGCATCACATTCTCCAATTCCCACATTCACCAATTCCCACATTCCTAAATTCCAACATTCCTCAATTCCCACATTCCTAAATTCCAACATTGCCCAATTCCGACATTCCTAAATTCCAACATTCCCCCATTCCCATATTCCTCAATTCCTACATTCCGTAATTCCCACATTCCTCAATTCCGCGTCCCCCAATTCCCACATTCCTCAATTCCCACGTTCCCCAATTCCCACGTTTCGCAATGCTACATTTTCCAATTCCCACATCCCCAAATTCCCACATCCCCCATTTCCCACAGTCCCCAATTCCACATTTCCCAATTCCCACATCCCCCAATTCCTACATTCCAAAATTCCCACATTGTCCAATTCCCGCATTATCCAATTCCTACCTTGTCCAATTCCCACCTTGTCCAATTCCCACATTCTTACATTGCCGCATTCTCACACTCCCACATTCCTACATTCCTCGATCACCTCCTATTTCGACACGGTATAATTCACTTCACCGTACAGTTTCGTGCCACTCGATGCAAATCGGTTCAACGTAACTTAATTAGACGTTGCATTTATTGACTTACAGTCAATTCATAGTATAATATAATTACGATAAACACCTCTAACGGTAGAATTATATAAATAATCCAGAATTGCAGTTTAGCAGTCCTCAGTAGAATAAACCTTCTTCAACTCCTTGAAAAGCGTGAGGTGTAAGTTTTACGAGTAAAAAATACGAAATTGTAGGGTTTCCGAGGAGAGTCAGATAAGAAACGATTCACAGAAACGTTCGGAAGGGCGTCAAGAAATAATTAACGGGATTTCGTGGCGGTCACAGTGTCGACGAAGTTGGAGGGACAATATCTAATCAGAAGACAGGTCTACGTAATTAAGCACTAACCGAGCTCCGGTAAACGCAAACTGGTTTTGCATTATTAAAGCGTCGGCGAGTTCTCTTCTCGTGTCGGACACGCTCGATAAGTGCGCGACGCTTTTGTGCTATCACGACTCGTTAGAGTTTGTCTTCTTGCCCTGAAATTTCTCCGATTGTTTCGTTTTGCATCCCTTTCCACTTGTTCACCCGGAATAACTGTGTACTTGGCTATCTCTGTGTCCGATGCATTCATGCACTCTGTGTTTCGAGATTGTTGGAGTGCTTCGTTAAGAATTAACTGTTTTATAACTTCTAATTGCGAACCTGTTTCGTGAATTGCTATCGGATAGAGATAAATGCGGTGTAATGAAAGATTAATTGCGGCAAATGCGAATTTGTGTATTTGGAAATTTATGGGATTTTAGACTTCTTTGGGACGTTGAATTTCAAAGGGAATTCTGATATTAACAAGTTTTTGAGCTTAGAAATTTCTACATTCCCTAATTCCCACATTTGGCAATTCACACATTCCCCGATTCCCACATTCCCCAACTCCACATTCCCCAATTCCACATTTCCCAATTCCCACATTCCCCAATTACCACATTCCCCAATTCCCACATTCCCCAATTCCCACATTCCCCAATTCGCACATTTCCCAATTCCCATTTTCTCCAATTCCACATTTCTCAGTTCCCACATTTCCCAATTCCCACATTCCCTAATTCCCACATTGTCCAACTCTCACCTTGTCCAGTTCCCACATTCCCCAATTCCCATATTCCCACA